GAAGCATGCAGCAGCTGCCAACTACAGAAACACACCCTGTTTGACTCATCAAACCACTCAGGCCCTCTCATCAGCAGTACTGTTTCCTCACCAGGGAAGCACCCAGAATGCACTGCTGCTCCACCAGCAGCAACACCGCCAGCACTAAGAGACACAGAGCGACAGCACTGTGACTGAAGGGGGACTAAAAGGTCGATGTGACCCGGATGGGCTGGGGGACCGGGTTAAAGCCCGACACATCCTTCTCTTCTCTGTAGGACGTCACACAGGTTGCTCAAGAAGCCTTCAGTGTTTCTGTTTCCTCTGACCACATGATGATCTGACCACTGTGACATGAGCTGTGTTCTTCTGCTGAAGTCACAGCTTCTTCAAACACATTAGCTTTATGGTCTCATGAGCTGAACTCCAGCCCAGTATGACCATCTGATGACATGTTGATCTCAGCACGTCAGACTCATCATGACTTTATGTTCTGGATTTAACAGACCAGAACACTTCCAGCTGATCCGTTTCTCCTCTCTGTGTCCATCCTGAGGTACCAACGGAAAAAATGTCTTTTACAACAAAAACTCAACAATCATTTGTCCATGTTTTCTAGTGACCAATCACACCAGCTTTTGATAAGTGAAGCTGCTTCCTGTTCCTGACGTTGCTGAGCTGTTCCTCTACTGCTCCAACAAAGCCGTCTACATCCAGCAGCAGCAGCATGTGTCTGAGGTCCCCCACCAAAGGGATCAATAAAGTCTTATCTTAACGCTGTCTGGTGTTCCTGTGGGGGAAGCATTTCATCTACAAGCCACTGATACCAAAAGATCTAAAATGGCCAAGACCAACACATGTGAGCAGCACGCTGATGAGATGAGCTGCTGTGACATGAACTTAACGCTAGAGACTAGAGCTTTGAGGCAGCAGAGCGGCCAGTTGGGTGGACGGAGGGTTTGGATGACCTAACATAACCCTAACCATGGAGACCACCGTGTGTTTCTGTTTCTAATCATACATCAACGTGGGTGAACATGAACTGGTTAAAGCCATGACAGGATCTTTTCCTGAAGCTTGGTGCTTTGGTAATGAACCAAACAGTGGTGAGAACCTCTGTGCTGTGTTTTGTGCTGTCGGTAGACGGGGACTTGGGTGACTAAGTTCTACAAACACAGTGCAGGTCATAGTCCTGACGTGTGCCTCTGAATTCATATTAGCTTCACCTCCCACCTGAACTTAAACAGCGAGGAGCAGTCTGACAGATCGAACAGCTCACATCTGACCTATGGGTGGCTGATCTGGTGCTAACGCCAAGTGAGCAGTGACGGTTTCCTTCAACCTGCCAAAGTTTGGAAACACCAGCTGAACTTCGGAGACGAGCCAGCTTGTTGTGTTTCTGGGTCACATTATGATAAACTACAAAACCTGTGGACCGTTTTCAAGGAGACAAGAAGTTGTGTTTCTCAAAACATAATTTATTGATGCTTTGAGCAGCTCCGGTCGCTCTCACTTGGCTTAAGTTGGAAACGATGTCTGATGGAGGGAGCAGGTGCAGCTCTCCACAGCGGCTTTAAACTGGGTCGTTGGTATCAAAGAAGAAATCGGGTTTGTTTCCTCTGATCACAAAATGATCCAGACATCACATGAAAACATTTACAGTCAGAAACAAACTGTGTGTCAGTGTGTGACTCAGTGGTCTTCAGCTCTTCATGTGGACCGGCTGGTCGATGAGCACAGTGTCTGACCACATGATCAGATGTGTGACAGCAGCTTCAGATGAACGGACTTGTTCTGCTCTGAGGATTCACCCTCTGCCTGTCCTGTTATCTACTCTGAATAGAACACTGGGATGAAGTGGCCTGCTGTACAAACATCATCGGAGTGAAGTAGAAGATGTTTCTGCTGCTGTACGGGCCGGTCTGTGTTTCTGACACATCAGCACTTCTGTGGTCTTCAGTCACGACCTTTCTCTGGATGCACAGGAAAGAACGACAGGAAGCCATTGGGTGAATGTAAAACAGCCCACTCCATCACGTTGATTAGCCGCCCAGAAGCCAGCACTCACGCTGTACTGTCTTTAATTTCACACCTCAGCTGGACAGACGGTACCGCTGTGGGTCACATATGACTGCACAGGACTGGACTCGGACTAGAGCCGGCACTTCTCTATTCAATGACTATGTTGCTGCTTTTTATAAAGGACATTACTGAGGATGAGATTCTTTCCTTGCAGGTAGTTCTGGCCAGTACAATGTGAAAATCAAACAGTAGAGGATTGAAACTTCATTTAATTAGATCATTTATCATAAAAAAATCACTGCCGTAGAAAAACAAGACATGGAACCATCTCTCCTCTGAAGCATCAACCAGCACACTGTGTAGTCCCACATCTCTGATCCCTTGTAACTAGGTACAAAAATTAACTAGTTTTATTCTAACATTCTGTGATTTAAAGGAATTCAGTGTTTGTCAGTTTCTGTCTGTCCCACTCCGATTAATGTTTTCACTCAAATAATCAATAAATTACAACTTAATGCATTTAAGCACGAGGCAACAGTAAAATATGAGGCAGTGAAGCCACTAAACCACATCATTCACTGAGCTCATCCCTTCACCGCCAGCTAGCAGGAGTTCAGCTGACTCTTCCTTCTCTAGTGTGAGCTGATTTAGCCGCTGCCTTATTTAATCAAGTGAAATAACAAACTGAGGCCCTGGCCAGAGCCCCAACCAGTGGGCCAAGACCAGCAAGAGGCCAAGGCTTGGGGAGGCCACCCCAGACAGCTACCCGGCATGGGCCAGCACCCACCCCAATGCCGAGACACTCACCCGGACACCAGGGTACCACCAACCTCCACCCTCCTGCATATGCCTACCTAATTGCGCAGCTCAAGGCCAAATGTAGTCCAGGCAGTAGTCCGTTGAACCTTTCAAGAGGGCGCTGTGGAGTCATTTTGCCATTGACACGTCCAATCCTTTAAAATATCAAATTTTTCGCCAGTCCTGATGTGCGTGGCCATTTTGGTGAGTTTTCGTGCATGTTGAGGCCCTCGAATGTGTTTCTAGAGAACATAAAATAAATACCACTAATAATAGTCACAGCAGGTCCAATCGGGCCCGTGCACTGTTAGTGCTCGGACCTGAAAGTGCATTACAGTAGCGTCCAGCAGCACACTGACGACCCCACATTTAAAGGCAGAACCGGTTGTGAAGTAATGTGTACACAGATGGACGCTGGACAGTCAGACAGGTTTTAACTCAGCTCTCACCTCGAGTGTTTTTACTGCTCTGCCTCCTGGTGAGTGGACGCTAGAACATGTTGTTGTATCATACATACGAATGAAGATCTGACAACTAATAGCAAGTTGCATCCTGACCCCTACTTAAGAAAAAGAAAAAGTATACATAAGGTGCAAAATGTACGGTGACTGGCACAAGTGTCTTCTTCAACCTAAGCAATAACCATAACTCCGTTAATGAAATCAAGTGACTTAAACCAAAACACTGACTAGAGAAGGGCTTAATAACAAACACCTGCAGTGAATCTGGACCAGAACCTACAACATGTCCAGCACGAAACCAAGGGAGCTGCTGTGACCAAAAGCATTTTGAATAAAACGATGTATGTTCTCAGGAACCACACTCTCACAGTCCTTCTGCATCAGTAAATAATGCCACCAGGTACATACATTGCATTAATGAGTAAATACAAACCAACAACAATGGCAACGGCCCAGAGACCGTCCTCTGACACGCAGTGGTGCCACTGCACGGCTCATCCTCGCTGCATTCACACTGAGCTGTGGGCATCCAGCTGGTTGTGTTTAACTCTGGCAGTATTTAAATGACAAACTGGCTCTAATACGATCACACTGGTTCTTGTGTTGCACATAATGCTGAGAGAAAACACTTCTTTGATTGTAATTGTGAAATAGAATCAGGAAATCTTTTCAAAATAAATGACTGATTAGAAGCATAAAATACATACATTTATATATAATTGAGATGAACCAATGAGCTGAGTTTTTCCTCAGTGTTATTGGACTTTCTAAGCACAGCAGCTGACAGTAGCTGTCAGGTATATCCTCCCACTCCTCCTTCGTGTATCCACTGTTAACCTGACGGCGGGACATCGAGCAGGCGTCTGACCTCCTCATCACCCAAACATCAGAACCAACGTATGCAGCTGTTAACCTCAGTTCTGAACAAACTCCAGCTATTGGGCTTCAAAAGTAAAACTATGGACCGACTGAACCTGCGGCTGAAAAACAGATGACACGACCCAGAGCCTGTCATCAGAACCCACCTGTGGTTCATACGGCGCCACAACAAAAAGAGAAAGCACCGGCACTGCTGTGTTTTAGGTCTGCAATCTGATAAACCAGAACGAGAAATGACCTGACATGCAGTGTCAGCTGTAGCTTCATGTGCATTATTCAACATGCACTGAGGAACAAGGCAATCATCAAACTGTGTCCAAAGACACCTAATGAGCCGAGTCCAACTGATCTGACTTGTTGACTGAACACGTCTGAACCTCATCTGACCAAAGACTCGGTGGTTATTTTAGAAAACATGCATACATCTTTTTGTTACTCATTCACACGTTTTGGTGCATTTGTCATTTCTGCTTTGGACGTTCCATGATTTGAAACCACGTTGTTCTTTTCTGTCTCAGGTAGTCGTGACACAGCCTGGAGGTATGTTTGGGTCATTACTCCAGAATCAACCTTCACAAATGGAGAGGAACCAACAAGAGCTGAGACACCCAAAGGAATCTTTTGCATCAACGTCCAACTCTGCAGAAAAACAGCAGTTTTTCTGAGTTTGCTCCTTACAGTGGCACATCCTGACTTGAGTTGACTAATTTATACTGACTCTGTCTGTACGACACACCTGCTGTGTGCTACGAGCATCGCTGGAAAAACATCTAATGGCTCAGCTAAGTGCCTGCATGTAGTGCTCGTGAGTTCTTTACAGGAAGCTGTGAAATATTAAACAATGAATGAAAGTCCACTGACCTCATCGACATTCTCAAAGGCATTGATGACATCATAAGGCAGGCAGGACAGCAGGTCGATGACGAACCAGGTCTTCACGTAGTTCATGCGAATGAGTTTTGGGTCAGAGATCACCTCTCCGGCTGGACCCACGAAGGTGGTATGGAAGTTAAGGACGATGTCGACGAGGAAGATGACATCCACAATGCTGTCCACGACCAGCCAGGTGACATTGTTCTGTTTGGTTTTGAAGGACACGTTGTAGGGCACCATGATGGCGGTGTAGAAGGTGAGGATGAGGATGACCCAGTCCCATGTGGTCTTGAAGAGGCAGTAATGCAGAATGATGTGCGGTGGTGTCTTCGGAGTTTCCTGTTTGTACTGAGGCAAGATGTCTGAACCCAGTTGGAGAACCTGAGACACACAGCAGGTATCCTCATCAGAGACTATTAGTATAGTTTGACCAAGTCTTCATGGAGACTTCATGGAAATACAGCAAAACAATGTTCCATCAGACATGTTCTGTTCTGCCACCTACGTGGTTACTGTTGGTTAATGTTAGAGATGGCGGTCATAGTCAAAAACACTGAGTGCAGCACTACATGGGAAGCTTTTAGAAATCTAACATGTCTTGTGAGTTGTGTTGAGGTTGAAAAGTGGCTGATTGTATGCCAAAAGCCATAAGCAGACAGTCAGCAGCCTGTGGCGTGTCCCCGACCTCTCCCGCCATTTGTCAGGCTTTATGACAGCTAGTTAGCACTGGAAAAGGTTTGTAATTCAACAATATTAAGACATAATGCAACTACAAATGCATTCTAAAGAACCATAAAAAAGACAGGGTCATGTCAAGCAGTGATTACAGCTTCAGGTATTTATGAGATTATCTATAAGTGTCCCAGCAGTATAAACTTTGGACAGAGAGAAAAAAGAATAAAAATACAGTTAAAAGTATATATGATTGGGTGCCTGGATAGCTCAACAGGTTGGGCAGGCGACCCATGTACAGGGGCTCCAGTCCCCGATGCAGCGGCTGCGATTCCATTCCAGCCAGCGGCTCATTTGCTGCATGTCCTTTCCCCCGGTCTTCTCCCCATGTTTCTCTGTCACTATTTCACTGTCCCATACATTAAAGGCAGAAAAGCTCCCAAAAATATATATTTTTAAAAGTATATATGATTGGCAGCAGCACTTAACGTCAAACCATCAGCTTCGCATACGATACTGGGCCGGTACCAGTACCACATCAGCACACAGTGGCAGAGCTGGCTGGTCAGTCATGGGACACTGGCCATGCAGGTGCTCCACCATACTTTTCT